GCCCCCCCTGTCCCGGCTAAAAATGGAGCCGGGCTGGCAGAGCTGCCACTTAAAGGGGCAGCTGGGACGGGGCCACCGTGGGCTCCCGGGGCTGGGGTGCGTGGCCGGGACCCCCACGGGGTCCCCACCTGCCCTGTGGGGTGCTGGAGCTCGCGGGGGGGGCTCTGTCCCACGGTGCCTGTGTCCCCGCCGTATCCCTGGCCTCATGTGTCTGCAGCATCCTCACCGCCTGTGCCCCCCCGGTACCCCAACCCCGTGTGTCCCCGGGGTACCCGTGACCCCATATGACCCCGCAGCAGCGTGACCCTGTGTGCCCCTGCGGCACCTGTCACCCCCCCTGCCCGGGGGTGGCACATTTGGGACATGCAGGGGATGCTCGGGGCGCAGCCCCCCCCGGGAAGGGGTGTACAAACAGCCCCCATGCTGTTTCGGCAGGCAGCCCCCCGTGCCGGCACTGCCGAGACCACTCACCACGTGTGCCACGCGTGTGGCCTCCTCCCTCCCCGTCACGCGGCGTGTGGGGATGCGGGTGCCAGCGGGAAACCCCTGCATGTGGGTGGCAGCGGGTGAGCCAGGGCTGACGGGAACCGCGGCGCATCCCCGGCGCTGTCACCACACATCCCCGGCTCTGCCGCGGTGTCAGCGTGGCTGTTCCCACACCGCCGCGCCGCTTCCCCAGGCTCTGCCCTGGGCACGGCACGCACCCCATAAGGCCACTGAGGCCAGTGGCACCTGGTGATGGGGGGTGACGGGGGCTATGTGTCCCCCCCAGGGACGTCCCCTGCTGCCCCATGTCCCAAGGCAGGAGTGGTGGCAGCGGGGAGGGACATTTTGGCTGAGCCGGCAGGACGGGAGCAGTGTTCCCCAGCCTGTGAGGACCACGCAGGTGTACGAGTGTTTGTGGCACGCTCGCGGCGTGCTCATGGTGTGCTTGTGGCGTGCACGCACACCATGACGTCCTGCTCACCGCCGTGGGGCTGGGCCGCGTGTATCCCCCAGCAAGTGGAGGTGCCAGCACCAGCACAGTGCCCGGATGGCCAAAAGGGTGCCGATGGGGTCGGGATGCGTCCCACCTCGTGCCGTGCCGGGGCAGCTGCTGCCCGCCCCGCTGCCCGTGGCCACCTGCGGCTGCACCAGGCTCCCTGCTGCGGAGGCCCCAGGCCATGCCGTGGCACCGAGCCACGCCAAGCCCTTCGGCGTGCTGCCACGTGCTGCGCCGTGCCACGCC